AAAGTTTGAATGTATCACCTGCTGTAGGCGGCATCCTGAGCCAATACATATTATTTTTTCTGGAATATTTGCATTTGGACAGCAAGTGAATACAGTTTTGTTTACATTTCAGGTGCCAACATATAACTTTTAGAAGTGTATTGTCAAGTATTATTTCTACTTAAAATGATAGACTAAAGTAGATTGAAACCATTTAAATTGTGTTTATTTTTAATGCTAATGGAAGAATATATATTCATGTATATATAAAATTTGTCTGCATGTCTTTAAAAGTCCAGGTCAATATTCAGTAATGAACATTCCCTACAAAGAACTTTGTGTAAGCATTACAATATACTGAAATAAAAAATAGATGCTACCCTCAGAGTGTTGCTTTTCATAAGAAAGATAAATTTATGTACCTACCACCTTATATCGGCTTTCAGGGTAATATATTAGCAATACTTATGGATAGGAAATGACACAAATCCACACATTTTTCATAATGGCTGGGAAAACTGGTAGTTTGTAGAGAAAAGATTTTACAAAATAATCTTCTTAAATTCCCCCAAAGAGACATAGCCTAAGTACTGACAGATAGTAAGAAAGTGTTACTTAAAGGCATTCCATTCTTCTTTCCAATAATATATATTTGTAAGAATATTGCCATATATGGTAGATATATATGCATCATAATTTTCCCAAATTGTGGCATTCTAAGAAGAAAAAATACAATGTTAGAAAAATGCAATGAAATTTACTTTGTTTTTCTTTTTTATTTTTATTTTAGTTTGAAACTGAGGATAAAAATCAGGCATTTTCCCATGCTAAGCATGCACTTTATCATTGAGCTAACTTCTTAACTCACCATTTGTTTTGTTTCTTAAAAGTGGACTTGACAAACTGTGTGTTACGGTACATGCCTATAATATCAGAATTTAGGAGGAAGAGGCAAGAGGATCAGGAGTTCATGCCTAGACTCACCTACACAGAAACATGAAAGCTTAGAATTGTAGCTTCCTAAATCTATTACAGTTAAAATACAACAGCAGTAGCTTTTGAGGGCTTTATAAGTAAACACCTATACTATATTATCTTGAACCAAAGTTGTAATTCTACTTTGTTTTTTAAATTAATATATACAATATATGTCAACTTTTAACTATCTCGTTTCTTCAGAAATCAGAATATGATTTGTCGAGTTGAAAAATCACAAAATTTCATCTTAAATATGATTTTACAGATATGACACACAGCAGTTTTTTCTCCAATATGGAAAACTTCAGTGAGAATAACTTGGTTTTAATAAAGAAGTAGAATGGACCACAAACAACATTTCTGTGGTTCTTAAGTTTTATCTTATGAGAAATATGGTTAAGAAACATGATTAAGTACACAAATATTGCCTAGCATAACAATTGCTTAAAGTATTCAGCCACCTGAGATCACTAGTAATTTACAACCCATGAAGTACAAACTAGAATTGTAAACTGAGGATCAGGTCCATTAATTAAATTTTACAAAACAATCTTAATAGTAATTAATGAACATTTGGAGATGTCCTAAATTTAGCACATGAAAGCACTCCACCTGAATAAAAAAAAATTACCTGAATATGATCTTCCGATGTCTTTATGACAAAAGAACTCTAGGTTCCAATAATTTAAAGCAATGATTAAAGTTTACATTATATAAAGGGAAGTGCAGGATAGAGAGCATATACAGGGCAACCTGAGCCTTGTGTTGGTCAGTAACTGTACTCAAAAAGAAAGAATGAATATAGGAACTGTTATACATACACAGAACAGTTAAACATTTTAAAACTATTTCTTTCTGTTATATTGGTTTTCAAAATATGCTTTTAATGTTTGCTACTTTTATTAATACAAAACAGGTATCCTTAAAACTCTATTCCAAAAGCATTCATTTTATTGGACGATTAAATACTTGCATAGTATGCAGAGTTATGTCAGAGTCTAATGATTAAATTGATATTTCAGAGTGGAAAAACTGATTGGATAAATGTACAGTAGTTCTAAGGTAGACACATGCATGTTTCAGATCAAATAGCCAACTGGATATTTTTTCTGGTGACCTCAGGAACAGCAGTTGGTTCTGTTAGACATGAATAACAAAGCTTCTTTCTATATTTTTTCAGGAAAATAGCATATACACCAGCTGGTACTTCTGATAACTACTGTGTGGCATCACAATTTCAAATCCCATATCATCAATTAATGAACATTAGCTTCATTAAAAATAATAGCCACTTGGGGCTGAAGAGATAGCTCAGCGGTTAAGACCACTGACTGCTCTTGCAGAGGACCTGGGTTTAATTCCCAGCACTCACATGGCAGCTATAAACCGTCCTTGACTCGAGTTCCAGGGGAATCTAAAGCCCTCTTCTGACTTCCATGGCAGTGCATGATACGGGTGCACTCACATACATGCAGGCAATACACTCACACACATAATCCATCATATAGCTTGATGACTGCCAAAATTAATGCACATTTTTCAGAAAGTTTATACTTTATATATAACCTTTTAAACTTGCAGCATAAAAGATAAAGTCAAGGAAGGACATGTTAAATATTTTTCATTCTTAAATAACGTAGTCCCAAGGCAACCAAATGTAAGACACCAAAAGTCAGACTTTTAGGAATTTATTCGTCCAGGAAATTAAAATGTATTATAAATATATTTTGATGAAAATTAAAGGTATTGCCCTTAGAAAAGTATTCTCTATTGTATAAAGCAGAAGCATTGCTAAGAAGTTTGTTCTCATTTTGACTGCAACAACACTGTAACATCCTAAAAGTATGACTGTTTTCCATCTGAATCATAAATCAGCTTAGTCTCTTAAACACTAAAATTTTCAACTCCAAGGAAACTTAAAGTCTTAAAATCAACTCCCATGTTGCTTCTAATTTCTAAGAAAAAATGTGAATTGAACTGTTCCAATCTATGTGTTTTCAGAACACACAAACCAAATCCATTACTTAGGTTTTGCTCAAGTATTACAGTTCAATTTCTTAAATCATTTGCGAAATAATTGGTACAAGCACCTAAGTTAGCATAATAAAAATTGTCATTAAGAGTAAACATTTCCCCATATTTCCTGAAAACAAACATATATTTCAAGATAAAATAGGAATTGGAAGTCATCTCCAGAAAAACAAAGTTAATCAGTAATTTCTCAATTCTAGAACGGAACTTTTAGCTCCTTGAAATTAGTAGTTGATTGTCATTCACTGTAATAATGCCTACACTCAACCATCCAGACAATACATAACATTAAAAAACTCACTGAAACCTCATGCAAAAACCTGCCATACCACAAATTTTAAGCATATATCCTTTAAGTAGTGCTTCCTTTGTTTTCTTCTTAACAGAATCTTCTTCAGTATAGTTCAAATGTGAAACCGTAACAGTAATTTGCACTACCTAACTCCCCTTTAATGATTCTAAGTGATACACACACAAGACAAAGTACAACTCTTCTTACAGAGGGTAAGCGCCTGCAGAGCTAAGATGTTCTTCATCCTTCTTATTTCTGTCACAAAATTATCAACAGGATAACAATAAGATATAAATTTCAATCATTTGTTATTTTAAATCCAGCAGGTTTTCAAATAAATCTCAGCCTTAATCAAAATGAGAAGATTGTATTTAACTTCAGCAAAACCTCTTCATTAACTCAGCCAACATTCCTCTCATAAAAATATTCTATTAGTTAGCCACACAGCGTGAGAAATTCTGTTCAGCACAAGAAGTCTAATAAAATTACACTGATGTTAATCACAATATCATTTAAAGGAGCCAATTAAATGAACTAGAAGCAAAAAAACCTTAAAAAACAGCCTTAGGAATAACTTTTTTCTTATAGTCATTAACAAATACTTATTGAGCTGATTGTCTAAGCAAGAAAAGCTAAACAAAGCGTTTACATCTCTGCCGGACTTATCTAAGAATTCCTAAAAGTAGCAGGTTCCAACCATTCCATTTTATGAGATTTTCTAATGTGTAAAACGCTGCTACTTTTCTGCAGGTTGATTAACCTTCATAATCATTTCATGTTCTTTTTTTACAGCTTCTAAAGAAATTATTATTTTAGCCCTAAAACACTATTTCAAATAAGACATGAATTCAGAATGTATTCCTTTGTTTTGTAAAACTTCATAGAAGAATGAGGGAAAGAATTCTAAAAGGAAATTGGAGTTCAAAATTCTACACTGCAAGTGGCCCATAATAAACATTCATCTCACAGACTCTTCTCTGTCTTCAGTGTGTATCTAGTGGACAATGTGTGGACTCTGCCTGATGGGATCTGTAGCTTCTAAAAGTGTGGGGATGACAGACATGGGCTTTTTTTAAAAGAAACAACTGTGAACCTAGACTTTAAATATTATTCCACTATAGTTTGTAGAGTTGATCAGTTTCAGCTCTGACATTCTAAAACAATACCAATTAACCATAATAAAAATGAATAATGTACTGGTGTGCTTGTATTTTGAAAATGATATCTATAGTCCATTTTTTAAATGATATAAAATAAGAATTATGGTTCTTGGAGGGAAAACATATGTTAACATATATTTATTAACATGGAAATAATAAACATGGAAACTTCACTCCAATGCATTGCACTACTTTCTACAGGTCTCAATAAACACATATATTCATATTTTTTAGGCAACCCATTCTCCGCTTTTCCATTTTGCTTTTACATGTTCATACCATGCTCTGTATCATTTCCTATATTCAGGAATTTTAAATTTCTTTCTAGATTTGTCACTTTCTGATAGCAGTACTTAACATTTGCCAGCAGCTCCCTAGTCCTTTGATCTCTCTGTCAAACCCATTTAACAGATCAAAATAATTTTTTCCAAATTACATTGTAGTTTCCTGAATCCATCAAGAAAAGAGAAAAATATCTGAGATATCAAGAAGCCTTAACAGAACCACAATCAACCCACCCAAGTACAACCTACACCCCCATTTTCTGTAATGGCACCTACCCTAGTGTTGTCATGGTGACAATGGTGTACCAGAAGGCTGCAGGGATGCTGGTGAACTTGCTGGCTGAAGACCCCTTCTCTGCGTAGAACATAACCGTAGCGAAAATGATGATAGCCATGGTGAGAGAAAAGAGCAAGAAGCCCAGTTCTGAGGCACAGCTCTTCAGTGTGTAGCCCAGGATGCGCAGGCCTTGAGAGTGGCGGGAAAACTTAAAGATCCTGAAGACTCGAAAGACTCGGAGTGTGACAAAGGCTCCGCTGACGTCCTCATTGTCTGTCATCACCAGCCCAATGTAATAAGGCAGGATGGCCACCACGTCGATGATACTCATGACACTGCGCACGAAACGGTAACGACTGGGTGCTGCAGCCAGGCGAAGCAAGTACTCGACAGTGAAGATCATGACACAGGCAGTGTCCAAGCAGAAGAAGGCCACTGCATATCGTTCCCCACAAGGCAGTTCTTTAATGTGGCCTGGGCTAGATCCACATGGGACTGTTTCCACCACATTGGCTATGACTGAGACGGCGATGAAGAACCCTGTCACATAGTAGAACACCAAGGCCATGGTGCTGGTGTGAGGGTTCTCGAAGGCCCGCCAGACCCTCTGCCGAGCTGTCATGGTGGGCAGTGCGCTCTCTCCTGTATTGTCAGTGTCCGCGTCATCCTGCAGGCGCTCAGCATTCTCCCGCCTGCGGTCTTTATATTCCTCATAACAGCAGTCACCAATAATTTCTGGGATGAGGCCAAAGAAGGCCAATTCTTCATCATAAGCAGAGATGCACTCGTGGCGGGGATAGTGGAGCTTCCCAGTGCGGTAAAAATTGAGGATGTGGCGGAAAATATCTGGGTCACGGTCAAAGAAATACTGTTGGGTCTCTGGATGGTAGAAAAAGTCTCTCTCTGAACTGCCCAGCAGTGTGTCTGGGTACCGTTCCAGTGTGTCCTGCCATGTTTGGAAACGAGTGCCACTCACGTTCAGCACAATTAGTGCATCCTGAGTCCTTTTTCTCTCCTGCCTTGGGGGAGCTGGCATGGGCCCGGAGGCCACAGGCATCCACCCAATGGCCGCTGCCCTGGCAAAGGGCAGCCACGCAGCAACGCCAGCCGCCATGTTTTCTCCTGGTGGAAGCGACAAGAGTAATCTGGCCAGTTATCTGGTGCTACCCAAAGCGGCACCTCCTCACGCCAATCCAAACACAGGTACACCCTTACTCTCAGGAGCAGGTGAAGTCGCAGTACCCTTCAGGGCAACTTTCCCTCACAGGCAAATATTTGGAATAAAAGAAAACAATACAGTGACCCAAAAAGCTCTCTCAAAAGAACCTGAGCAAATCTCTGACAACAATTAGGCCAGGACACCTCCTGGCACTTGTAAGCACACAGGTGACTTCAGAGACAGCAACTTCTTCAAACAGGTGTCTTGGCTTTCTCCTGACACAGTCTGATAATCTGGGGTCAGTATTTGGAGTAGGAAAGACAAAACAGGAGGAGTCACCCAGTGGTAGTGTCTTGAATGGGTCAGGCTTTCACCTTCCCTTCTTGTGGTTTCAAACCTTCCCTCTGCAAGTAGTCCTTCCCGCCAAAGGCGTCTCAAAGAGAGGACCTGTTGTTGTAGCTCTGGAGATGCGGTCACAGCCGCTATCCCACGTCTCTGGGAGTCCGCTCGCCTCCTCTACTCCTGCGGTGTTTGCAGAGATGGAGGTGGTGTGTGGCGCTCACGGCGGGAGGCGACGATCTGTAGATATTCCTCCCCCAGGTCCACAAACAAGCTCTGCGCCTGTCAAGAGCGTTGTCCAAAGGCCCCTTCGCTCTCTCAAGTTCAGTTCAGGTGCAGTGTGACAGTTACAGAGCCCGGGAGCTGGCAGCTGCCGCCGCCGTGGCGGCAGCAGCATCTGCCTCAGCGCAGAACGCGCCTCGCCCGCGGTACATACCTGGCAAAGTGCGCGCCGGGGCTGAGTTGCATAGAGACTTTGCAGTCGTCGTGCACCCGGAAAAGGAAAGGGAGAGCCAGCAGCTCGAGAGCAGCCGGATCCGAGGCGCCCAGGGAGCATAAATAAAGCTCCAGCGAGCTTTCCGTCCCCTTCCCCCACCCCTCTGTGCCTCCCCCCCTCCTTGTCACCTTCCAAAAAGCCAGGCGCAGGAGAGCTGAGCCAACAGCAACAAGTTCAAAAAGGTGCGGGGGAG